TGAAATCTTCATGTGATCCCTCTGGATCCTAGCTCCAACACTCGCACCATGTTTCCTCTACCACAAATATCTCCAAAGTTGCACCAAAAATCGAAGGAGATGAAGAACACCAAAACCCTAGCTTTAAGGATGAAGAGTTAAGAAGATTACTTTGACGAAGACTTTAGAATCCACCAAGAATTCCATTCTAAAGCTAATCGGACCTTAGACCCCCAAGATGAGAGAAAATAGAGTAGGAGAAAGGTTAGGGTGGAAAATGGCCCAAAATCGGGTTTTAAAACTAATTTGGACGTGAATGCGGGTTTCCAATCGAGTAAAGTCGCTGTAAAAGTCACCCTTATCCAAAAAAAATCTGTAAAGAAACCCTAAAGCGGGTTTTCGACCCTTAAACCCGCATTTTAACCCGCTTCAGACCACTGATTTGGCTTTCAGTTGACTTTTTTTAGAACTTAGCATAAAATTCAGTCCATATCATTTTCCAACGATGAAACTTGATAAAAGGGGTATATTAAGGTTAAAATAGCAAGCGCAATATAAAGGCACGAAATGAACAAAAATTCCAGGTGTTACAAAATTAGGGAAAGTACAGAAGAAAACAAAAAACCCTTTGTGTGTGTGTGAATGAGACAAAAAGAGAGATTAAGAGTACGGAGGGAAACGATGATGGAGGTGGTTCGCATGGTTGGTGGTGGGTCACTGTTGTTTCCGGCCAAACTCCCAAACCCGAATGTGTTCTTGAAATCTTCATTTCGATTGAAAAATGGCTTGTCTTTGGCTATATGTCCCATATACAGTATTTCTATACATTGATTAGACCCGCGTGTTTTTGATTAAAGGGTATTTTTTATTGGATTTATTCGAAATGGGTTTTGATTTGTGTTGAATATCTTGCTCCATCGCTTTGGGTTTTGGCAAATGTTTGTGTGTATTTGTTTCTGAACATAGTTAGGATAGATATATGCTATGTTTGAGTTGTTTCTGGATTCGACTTATGAAGATACAACCCATTTAAAACCATATCCTACATGTAGTAGAGGGTGTTTTAGACGAGAGGTTTTTGGTCGGCAACGAAGGAGGGATCGATTATGAAGGAGGTTGGATAGATGTAGTGGGATGGGATAATTTCAGTCGTGGTGTTATAGTAGCTGCTTCTGAGAAAATGGTGGTGAGCCATGGTGGAAGAAGATGTTATTGTCCATGTGTGTGTATATATATGTATGTTAGAGTTAATTACGTAATAGGTCTCTAAAGTCTAGTGATTTTTGTAAAAACAAGAAAAATAGGAAAGAGGAAAAACATGGATGGATGACTATTTTTTTTTTACCCTTCTCTCTAACGAAGACTTTTAGGGTGTGCTTGGTGTCCAGACAAGACATGACAGAACAGGACAGGACAGGATAAAACAATTGTTCAACATTTGGTAAGATAAAACTGGACAGAACAGAACAAGTAAAATGATCAGTTTACCCTTGATGAGTTGTTTATTTTAATTAATTTTTGTAATTTATTAAAGTATAATAGAATAATTATTTTTTATAACAAAGTATATCATTTGAAGTTTTCGTCAAAACAACTAAAATGACACCAAATAAAAAGTTTATGTAGTTTTTTATTGGGAAAAGTCCTAAAAAAACCCAATGGACTTTAGTGTTTGGAATGATTAAGTTCTTGGACAATTTTTTAGAACAAATAAGTCCTTGGACATTCTAAAACATGTTAAATAATTCATTGATCAATTTTTTGGAACAAATAAGTTCTTGGACAATTTAAAACATGTTAAATAACTCATTCGACAATTTTTGGAACAAATAAATCATTGGACAATCCAAAACATGTTACATAACTTCTTGGACTTTTCTAAAACATGTTGGATACATTATTATGTCTTGTACAACTAGTTAAAGTGGTAAAATAATGAGAAAAAAAAAATCCGAAAAAAACTCCAATGAATATTCATATTTTTGAACGATTAAGTCCCTAAATATTTTTTGAACCAAAAAGTATTTAGATCTATAAAATTAAACAAATATAAGAAAAAATAATTACATTTACAAAAAAATAATTACATTTAAAAAAGATTTTTGATAAAATTTATTTTAATTAAAATTAAAATATATTATATCAG